GATTTAACACGGTTAGTTAATATGGAGGCGTTATGCTGATGGAGACTTAACGTGGTTTTATTGTGAAAATCCCACAGGAAGTAGTTCATTGTTGAGTTAGAATTAACTGGTGTGCAAGGTGAGTCGTGCTGATAAGCTTTAATAAATAACATAAAACAATAAACCCGATCATAATCTTTTCTTGACCCTCCTCCTTCACGACTGGACCAAAATGATGACTACTGTCTGCAACCACCAGTCAGAGAAGAACAGACACAGAGGAGGGAAACAGACACAGACAGAGCTACAGGAAAATAAAAAGGTCAATAAGTAGGGTTTGTACATTTTATTAACAGCTGAGCTGTAATGAAAAGAAAAATACCGTCAAATACTGTGAAACTGGTAAAAATGTTGAAAATACTGTGATATATAATTTTGATCATATCGTCCAGGTCTATATATAAATCACAGTCAAAACAAAAGATACCAGGGGCCTCATGTATCAACTACAGTAAACTAGGCCTGTCGCGATAGTCAAGAAATCAATTAATTTCACGATAAATTATTTTGAGGTCGGTAAAAAAAAATGAGGACGATAAGTTTCATTTTCCTGCTTTTTTGTTTACTTCGTCTCTCTCCCTCTCTGTGCTCCGCTACACAGGAGCTCAGCTGACTCCTCCCCTCCTGTTTTCTTAGTGTGGGAGGAGTCAACTCTCAGTTTAGCATGAGAGCTCGTAGCAATAACAAACTAAAGAAACGTTTCAAAGCAGAACGCGGCTGCTGCAGTGTCGGAGCACTGGAGCTTAAATTTCGCTGCGGGCAGACACACACAGAGATAGGCCTCACCAGGCTGTGTGGTTTGCTTCATCTCTAAAGACAAGCTGCTCTTTAATATTGTTTATTTACTGTCTTAGTTGTGTGTGGTGCTTAATTTACATTTTGTTGTTCTTTGGGTTTTTTTTTTCAAGTGCATTTTTTGTTAGAGACTGAGAGTCCACTTTGTTAAACATTCTTTTAAAAATTAAAGTTTATTGATTTATTACACTTACATATTACGCTTTTATAATTATTAGCTGTAAAATGGTCACCAGGCAATATTATCGCTTATCGCAATAATTTGTAAAATTATTATCAGCAAAATTTGTTATCGTGACATATGTTTACTGGACACAGTGTCACACACTTTCTCGTTGTGCATTGCATTGCACTTATTACTATGATAACCGAACATTGCAAACAACATTTAGTTTTTATCTCACCTCAGCAGTGACCCTCTGAAGACGACCTGAGCCCAGTGAGCCGTGTTTTGTCTCCTGCTGAGACACAACATGTTCCTCACACAGAGTGGGGAGGAAATCTCTGAACAGAAACAAGTTGGAAAAGTTCATCTGTAGTCGACAGGTAAAATAACAAGAAATATTAAGTGGTTAGGTAGACACAGACACACACAGACACACACACACACACACACGCACACACACACACACACACACACACACGCACACACACACACACACACACACACGCACGCACGCACACACATCAAACTTTACTCATTTCTTTAAAAAACAAAATAAATTCAGTATATAATTAAATACAAATCATAAATAAGTGAAAGGTAGCAGAAGACAAAATCTTAAATATCTGTCTTTTTTTCCTCAGATAAATAAGTTTAATCAAAAATAAACTTCAAATTTCAAAAACAAAACAAATAAAAAAACAATCAAGGTTTGACTCCTCCTCCAACAACATATGGTACATTATATTGTTACATATTTCTGCAATAAATTAACTTTTATTATTCTCTTAAAGACTCATTGGGCCTCATGCAAGAACCGTTGGTACACAGATTTGTTCTTAAGTTGTGCGTACGAGTGATTTAGGAGAATTTGTGACATTCACCAATGTTTTCGTATTCTAAGATTTTTTTCAGATACGAACAAAATTCAGGAGTGGTCCAGACCTGTCGTATATTTTACCAGCAGTCAGTCTGCTATGGTTGGCCTCTGAGGCCATAAATCGGGCGTATATTTACGTGCAAATCCTAACACGCGGTGAAGTAAATAACGTGCGAACGCGCAGTGGCGCCACGCGCGGTGCCGCAAAATAAAGTGCGAACGCGCGGTGGCGTTACGCGCGAACGCGCGGTGGGTTAGGGTAGAAAACGCCAACACGCGTTATTTAACGCCACCGCACGTTCGCACGTTATTTACGGCACCACGCGTTAGGATTTGCACATAAATATACAGCCGATTTATGGCCCCAACGGCTTGCCATAGTCTGCTGTTATCCAGACGGGTTTTCTTCATTAATAACTTTATATTTCATTAGTTTGAAGATATTTT